TTTAACAAATAAACTGAAAAGTGGGGCGTGCAATATTATTCGGGCCCCTTGCGCTAATACTTTGTAGAGCCACCTTTTGCTGCAATTACAGCTGCAAGTCGCTTGGGGTATGTCTCTATCAGTTTTGCACATCGAGAGACTGGAATTCTTGCCCATTCTTCCTTGCAAAATAGCTCAAGCTCAGTGAGGTTGGGATGTAAAAAACTATGAATTTTCATGACCGACCACCGAGCCTCATTAACCGGTTGAAACCGGTTAACCGCGTAGTTTAAAATAGTCCACGTTCTTTGAAATAACAGCCATTTCGAGCCGCGTACTTTTCATAAGTGCAGCTGAGCGTTCTACAGGATCAGAGCCGAGACAGCGGCACCAAAACCCGTAACAGCTTCGGCACCTTTGCGCACAGAGAACTGCTGTTTTAATCTACCCATTCTTCTGTGCTGCGGCTTAAAGCATTTTTAAGCAAAAGACAGCTCGTCCACATGGTCAGGGCAGCGAGTGACGAGCCGCGTCTCGCAGGTCTCCGCTAAAGTTTAAAAGTGATCAGTGTGGAGCTGATGCCAAGGACCAGCAGCACAAACATGGTCCATGTGGTTTGACTGGAGCCGTGTATTTGCAAGAATGCTTTGGGCTCCGTGACACAGAGGAGCGCGACAGACCGGTATGTGTGTGTGTACAATACATGTATGTATGTGTGTATATGTATGTGTGTGTGTATATGTATGTGTGTGTGTATATGTATGTGTGTGTGTGCAATACATGTATGTATGTGTGTGTAAATATAAGCTCCAATGTAGTTCTGACCCGCACCAGTGTGCAACTAGCAGGCGGTAACAGAGGGGAGAGATGATGCGTGTGGATGTTACGTGTCAATGGAGGGGGGGAAATGTGTGTGTGTGCGTGTACATGTGTGCGTGTACATGTGTGCGTGCATATGTGGCGCGTACGGCGTGAGAGTCGGCCCAGAGTTTACTGTTACATTGGCGCACACAGCTAGATAGGGACCCGCTCGTCACATCGTGCAAATAGGGCTTAAAATAGCGTTATGAAGAGACCTCCCCTCTCCCCCTTTTCTCTTTTTTAACCGACAGCTTTGACCGGTTAACGCTGTGACGGTCAACCACCGGTTAAACGGTCACCGATTTACATCCCTAATGGAGAGCGTTTGTGAACAGCAGTCTTCAGCTCTTTCCACAGATTCTCGATTGGATTCAGGTCTGGACTTTGACTTGGCCATTCTAACACCTGGATACGTCTATTTGTGAACCATTCCATTGTAGATTTGGCTTTATGTTTTGGATCATTGTCCTGTTGGAAGATAAATTTCCGTCCCAGTCTCAGGTCTTTTGCAGACTCCAAATGGTCCTGTATTTGGCTCCATCCATCTTCCCATACATTTTAGCCATCTTCCCTGTCCCTGCTGAAGAAAAGCAGGCCCAAAGCATGATGCTGCCACCACCATGTTTGACAGCGGGGATGGTGTGTTCAGGGTGATGAGCTGTGTTGCTTTTACGCCAAACATATTGTTTTGCATTGTGGCCAAAAAGTTCGATTTTGGTTTCATCTGACCAGAGCACCTTCTTCCACATGTTTGGTGTGTCTCCCAGGTGGCTTGTGGCAAACTTTAAACGAGACTTTTTATGGATATCTTTGAGAAATGGCTTTCTTCTTGCCACTCTTCCATAAAGGCCAGATTTGTGTGAATTGTTGTCCTATGGACAGACTCTCCCACCTCAGCTGTAGTTATCTGCAGTTCATCCAGAGTGATCATGGGCCTCTTGGCTGCATCTCTGATCAGTCTTCTCCTTGTTTGAGATGAAAGTTTGGAGGGACGGCCGGGTCTTGGTAGATTTGCAGTGGTTTGATACTCCTTCCATTTCAATATAATTGCTTGCACAGTGCTCCTTGATGTTTAAAGCTTGGGAAATCTTTTTGTATCCAAATCCGGCTTTAAACTTCTCCACAACAGTATCTCGGACCTGCCTGGTGTGTTCCTTTGTCTTCATGGTTCTCTCTGTGCTTTAAACAGAACCCTGAGACTATCAAAGAGCAGGTGCATTTATACAGAGACTTGATTACACACAGGTGCATTCTATTTATCATCATCAGTCATTTAGGACAACATTGGATCATTCAAAGATCCTCACTGAACTTCTGGACTGAGTTTGCTGCACTGAAAGTAAAGGGGCCGAATAATATTGCACAGCCCACTTTTCAGTTTTTTATTTGTTAAAAAAGTTTAAATTATTCAATAAATTTCGTTCCACTTCACGATTGTGTCCCACTTGTTGTTGATTCATGACAAAACATTTATTTTATATCTTTATGTTTGAAGCCTGAAATGTGGCGAAATGTTGAAAGGTTCAAGGGGGCCGAATACTTTCGCAAGGCACTGTAGCTATCTATCCACGATAGAAGCTCTGCAGCAGGAAGCTAACAGCTTAGATTGTACAGGCTTGGTTTGAGACGTCCTTTTGCATTTGAAAATGTATTTAACATTTCTTTCTCCCGCCTCGGTTTCTACAACCGTATACCTCACAAAAACACTGCATCGTACCTATGAAAGTCAGCGGAAAACTGCGGACTGTCAGCCGTGTTTGTGGCAGATGCCACGCAGGTTGTATCCATGTTATGACTATGATTTGCTATGCTCTATCTCTGTGTGACACGTATGTCTTTCCATGTGTGACGTGACAATGACTATATAAACTGTATACTGCCTTTATTCTGTCTGAGAGAAAGAAACAATTGAAACCACTGGAACTTGAGAGAAACTTAAATAAACTTCCAGAGTTTGGCGCACTACGATCCGTCTGTCTGGTTCATTCCTGACAATACATCTAATTGAATACATTAAACTCTAATCTGATTAGTAACAGTGAGTTGCTTTTCAAGATTTCATCTCTTGTGTTCAACAAATATTATAGATTCATGATTGTTCCGCTCTCATCAACAAACACACGTTATTACATTTAGGCCTGATACAAATTACTCTCAAGTGATGCACAAACGAGGGCCATAATAAATATATCAATGATATATATTAATCATTTATTGCATATATGTGCATTGTTACATGTTATTTCATAACACTTTTAAGCAACTTTTGTTAAAGTTAAACTCATTCTATCAATGTGCAGAAGCCTGTACTTTTCCACTTCATGTTTTGTCTATCTGAAGGCCAAGCTACATGGCACCGTGGCAGCTGCTGATTGGAGGTCTCCATGCCTCCGCTCTGTATAATACACTTGCATTCTGTGTTCGTGCTGTCTCTACCATCGACAATAAAACATGTCTTCTGTCTGAATGAAAGACGCGATCCCAGACTTTGTCATCTTCTTCACATACATACATGTTTGTGACATGAAATATCACTTTGCAGAGTAGCTCAGTTGGTAGAGCACTGGCCTTTAGGCCTGAAGGTTGTGGGTTCGAGCCCACCATAAGACCTACTTCACGACTCCCACTGATGACTGCTGTCGTTGTGTCCTTGGGCAAGACACTTAACCCCACTTTGCCTGAAGCCCCCGCTAAAGATCTCAGCTCCTGTGGACTCACCACCTGCAGGAGGATCAGTGAGGGGCTGGTGCTAAGTGTACTGGGAGCAGCTCTGACTGCCACCCTCCCGACCCAGAAATGGATTAAGGGGAAGAAAATGGATGGATGGATGGAAATATCACTTTGTAAAAACGAATGTTTACTGCAAATACAATTGTTATAACAGAGAAAGTCCGTTACAGAAGCCTCGTCTTTGGGTTTTCATAATAAAGACTATTTAAGATTATAAACATCAAGGGAGCTCTCAAATGTATCCCTGCATTCCAACGCTTTGTTCTGGGCTTTAGCCCCCTGGTGTTAGCTAGCGCCGGAGCTTCGCCCTGGAAAAAAAAAATCAGAACATTTTCTTTTTGATCACCAAACTGACTTCTGATATGACAATAAAGGTAAACTTTTTATCTTCCATCACGGCCGCTGTGTCCTTAGCTCCGCTGTGCTCAAAACGCTCTCTTGCCTCTAGTGTTCTGGACGTGCGGATGGTGTGTTCAGGGTGATGAGCCCAGAATGCTGTCACAAGTCGTTGGACGCGATTCTGATGCCCGAAAAGCGTTTGGTCTGAACTCGGCATTAGACAAATACATTTTAGCAAAATAGAGACCCCATAAGTTCTCCTCTTGATATGAGCATTTGCCACAACTGCACCGGTCACAGAAAAAGAGCTTTTTGACTCTGAATCGGTGAATATTTTAAGATTAAGTTGGCAGTGTTCATTAGTCCTTATTGTACAGTCTGACAGCAGCAGGAAGGAAAGACCTCTGGAACCTCTCCTTCACACATCGAGGATGAATAAGTCTGTCACTGAAGCTGCTCTCCAGAGCGGACAGAGTGTCCTGCAGGGGGTGACAGTCATGGTCCAGCATAGATAGTTTGTCCCCTGTCCCCCACCTGCTGCTGTGTCCAGGTAACAGCCAGGACACAGCGTTTTCCAAGTTTTCTCGAAGCAGAAGTTTATATATCCCGTGATGCCATTAATGTCCTGCCCATGGGGGTCGCAGAGCTCGTCCCAGAGGATCCTTTCAAAGTAATCTCTGAGGGCCTCAACAGTGTTTGTATTCCATGTTCATATCACCTGTGCACCACTGGTATGTACACAGGCCGGAGGTACATTATGTTGTGATCTGCTCTGCCTAGCGTCCTTAGCATTGCTGAAGAACAGATCCAGTATTTTATCTCCTCTAATGGGACAGGAGACATATTGTATGAACATTATGTCTCCTGTTTTTTTACATTGTTCTTAAGGGGAGGACTTCGCACTGCTGCGTAACGCTGCAGCCCAGCAATACACATCGGCTATGGTTTTCGGCCCAATTCTACACATTGGTCTGATGCCAAAGGACTAAGAAATTATCAGCATCGCCCAATATCATTGTATGCCAATATATATCGTGCATCCCTTGTTAATATAGTCGTTTGTTCTAATGGTTTTGTTTTGTCTATTGCAGTTTGTTGAAGGGCAGAGACACAGACGGGTTCCCGGTTTTCCAGGAGAAGTTCATTCGAGAGTCTGTCCGGAAGTTTCCTTACAGCGATGCCACGTTACTGCAGCAGCTGGTCCGCAGCATCGCCCCAGTGGAGATCGTGAGTCAACACCTTTATGCTATATAACTAGTTAGCATTTAGCTCACCACCAGCAAACAAACAAATAAGAAGTGGTTCTATTCTCCAACATTATTTTCTTTTCATTTTATTTTGGCCAATAGAGGAAGCTGGATGCTTTCCAAAGGCACCAAACAACACCTTAAGGCACACTAACGGGCCACAGCCCCCTGGTTGAAAATCACTTAGTTTGTTACATAATTCCTTTCTTAATGTTGACGGGAATAGATTTATTTTAAAGAAAAAATATTGTGCATTTTTTAGTCCATTAAAGTGTTAGTCTGGAATAATATTAAATTGACCACCTGGCCTTAAATGTTGATATAATAGAAGTCATTTTACGAATTATATATCCTGCATGTAACATGTTTGCACATTTCCTCCTTTTGCACAATCTGAGTGTCTCTATCCATGCCAAATGTGACATGTACATTTCTCCTCTGTGAGATAAATAAAGCACATCTTATCTTTATAATATTAAGGGTAAGTCCAAGTGATGCCAGGGCTGACGATCATCGCGCTTGTGCTCGTAGATAATTTTAATAATAAATTATATATACAGTGGGGCAAAAAAGTATTTTGTCAGCCACTGATTGTGCAAGTTCCCACTTAAAATAAGACAGAGGTCTGTAATTTTCATCATAGGTGAAAAAGAAATCCAGGAATTCACATTGTAGGATTTTTAAAGAAATTTTTTGTAAATTATGGTGGAAAACAAGTATTTGGTCACTAGCAAAAATTCAACTCAATACTTTGTAATATAACCTTTGTTGGCAATAACAGAGGTCAAACGATTACTATAGGTCTTTACCAGGTTTGCACACACTGTATCTGGTATTTTGGCCCATTCCTCCATGCAGATCTTCTCGAGAGCAGTGATGTTTTGGGGCTGTCCAACTCCCTCCACAGATGTTCAATGGGGTTGAGGTCTGGAGACTGGCAAGGCCACTCAGGACTTTCAAATGCTTCTTACGGAGCCACTCCTTCGTTACCCGGGCGGTGTGTTTGGGATCATTGTCATGCTGGAAGACCCAGCCACGTTTCATCTTCAAAGCTCTCACTGATGGAAGGAGGTTTTGGCTCAAAATCTCATGATATATGGCCCCATTCATTCTTTCCTTAACATGGATCAGTCGTCCTGTCCCCTTAGCAGAAAAACAGCCCCAAAGCATGATGTTTCCACCCCCATGATTCACAGTAGCTATGGTGTTCTTGGGATGCAACTCAGTATTCTTCTTCCTCCAAACATGACGAGTTGAGTTTAATAATAATAATAATAAATCTTTATTTATAAAGCACTTTTCAAAAACAATGTTTACAAAGTGCTGCACAGCATAATAAACAATACATCAGTCATAATACAAAGTTAAAACAATAAGAATGAATGCAAGAAGACAAGACAAACAGAGGAAACACAAGACCACAAAACAGACAGGACAGACAGTAAAATACAACATTATAAGTTTAAAGCTGACAATTAAAAGCTGTTTTATAAAAGTGGGTTTTAAGAAGAGATTTAAAAGAGGATACTGATGGTGCTAGCCTTATCTCCTCGGGCAGGTCGTTCCAAAGCCGAGGAGCCCGGACAGAAAAGGCTCGATCACCTTTCGTCCGGAGCCTCGACCTTGGAATGGTCAGCAAGGACCTGCCCGAGGATCTAAGGCTGCGGGGGGGCTCGTAGGGGGTTAAAAGTTCATAAATATAGCTTGGTGCCAGACCTAAACGAGCTTTAAAAGTAATCAGTAAAATCTTAAAATCAATTCTAAATCGCACAGGGAGCCAGTGGAGGGACGCTAAAACAGGGGTGATGTGCTCCCTTCTGTTAAAACCAGTGAGAAGTCTGGCTGCTGCGTTCTGAACCAGTTGGAGGCGGGAGAGGGATTTAGCATCAAGACCGGAGAGGAGGGAGTTACAGTAATCGAGGCGGGAGAAGATGAGGGCGTTGACGACTTTATGGAGATCGGGAGGAGTGAGAATGTTTTTAATCTTAGAGATGGTGCGGAGGTGATAGAAGCAGGTTTGGGTGGTTTTATTGATGTGGGAGCGGAAGGTGAGGTGAGAATCAAAAATGACACCGAGGTTACGGGCGGAGGGAGTGATGTTTGAGGACAGGGGGCCGAGGTGGGTTTGGATGTGGGATATGGATGGAGGCGGGTTGATGAGGAGGACTTCTGATTTGGAGGTGTTGAGTTGAAGGAAGTTATGGGCCATACAACGGTTCACATCGTTAAAACAGTCGACCACAGCAGCCAGACTTCCAGGGTCGTTTGGTCTCAGCGGGAGGTAGATCTGTGTGTCGTCCGCATAGCAGTGGAAGGACACGTTATGACGGGCCATAACGTGTCCTAGGGGGAGCATATAAATAGAGAATAAAATGGGGCCTAAAATAGAACCTTGCGGAACACCACAGGTGATGGGGGCTGTTGAGGAGGTAAAATCACCCATGGTGACCGCAAAGGTTCTTTCTAAAAGATAAGAATGAAACCAACCAAGTGCAGTATCTCTGATGCCAACCCACGTTTTGAGGCGATCCAATAAAATATCGTGGTCTATAGTGTCGAAGGCAGAGCTTAAATCTAAAAGAATTAAAATAGAGCACTCTCCGCTATCCGTGGTTAAAAGAAGGTCATTTAAAACTCTAAGGAGAGCTGTCTCAGTACTGTGTTGTGCTTTAAAACCGGATTGGAATTTCTCAAAGATGTGGTTATTGTTAATAAAATCTAAAATCTGAATAGAAACAATTTTCTCTAAAACCTTAGATAAAAACGGGAGTTTAGAAATGGGTCTAAAATTGTTAAAATCTGTAGTGCTTAAATTAGGCTTCTTTAAAAGTGGTTGGACCACAGCATGTTTAAAACTGGATGGGACAAGACCTTGATCCAGGGACTGATTAAGGATTGATAAAATGGAGGGTCCAACCACATTAAAAACATCTTTGAGAAATTTGGTGGGGATGACATCGAGGCTGCACGTGGTTGGTTTCATGCGGAATAAAATGTCAGATAAAAGAGAAAGGGATAAAGGCATAAAATTTGTAAAACAACTAAAATCCAGAGTTTCTCTATTTAAAACAGTGGCTTGGCTAGGAGCAGATATTTGGGTCCGGATATCTGTTATCTTTTGAATAAAATGGTTTAAAAATAATTCACACTGTTCAGTGGATGAATCACTAAAAACACAGGGACTGGGATTTATAATAGAGTTTAAAACTTTAAATAAAACTCTGGGATTCGATTTGTTTTGGGTGATAGTGTTTGAATAAAATAAAGTTCTTGCTTCCTTGACTACGTGTTGATATTGTTTGAGACTGTCTTTCCAGGCGAGGTGAAATGCTGTAAGGTGTGATTTTTTCCATTTCTGTTCGAGCTGTCTGCATGACTGTAAGAGCTTTCGAGTGTTTTCATTGAGCCATGGTTGTGGTGTTCTGGTGGGGTTTCTTTGTTTAAAAGGTGCAATCGTGTCTAAAATCCTATGTGATGTTTGATAAAAGGAGGAGACCTGCTCCTCCAGGCTAAAATGTTGGTTAAAAGTAGTCAAGGAGGCTGCAGTAAAAAGTTGGGAAAATTTAAGAGCAGAGGTGGAGTTAAAAACACGAGAGTGATAAAATGACCCATTGGAGGCAGACTGAGGGGCTAAAATAACGTCGAATAAAATAGCTAAGTGGTCCGACACACAGATATCCTTGGTGATGACATTACCTGCGCTGAGACCAAACGTTAAAACCAGGTCCAGTGTATGGCCCTTAGAATGGGTCGGAGCATTTATAATTTGAAGAAGATTAAAAGACTCAATTAGATCAATAAAATCAGAGGTTAAAGGGTGTGGTTTATGTGGGCAGCAGACATGAATGTTAAAATCACCTAAGATTAAAACTTTGTTGTGGAGGGCCATACACTGGGATAAAAGATCAGAGAATTCTTGAATAAAAACAGTGCTGGGTTTAGGGGGTCTATAAATAATTAAAACAAACACTGGGGTTTTACATGAAATGATAAGAGACAGGTGTTCAAATGAAGTAAAAACATTTTGTGATCCAGGAGTGCATTTAAAAGTGTTCTTAAAGATGGCTGCAACCCCCCCTCCCTTACCGCAGAGTCTTGGTTGGTGGAGGAAGGTGTAGTCCGGGGGGGTCGCTTCAATGAGGGGGGTGCAGTCGCCTTGCACTTGCCATGTTTCTGTTAAAATCATGAAGTCCAGGTTGTTGTATGTGATGAAGTCCTGACAGATGAAGGATTTATTGTTGATGGATCTGATGTTTAGAAGTCCAAAGATTGTAGGTGCAGGGTCCGGAGTGAGGGCTGTAGAGGAGCAAAGGGGAACCGGGATGAGACAGGGGAGGGAGAGTTCTCTGGAGGAGGTCCTGTGGGGTCGGGGTCTGGAGATGACAGGGATTGACTGGGGGGGAGAGCTGGGGCTGGGTCGGTGAGGAGGTGATACGGGGGGTGAGGAGGCAGATAGTCAGTTGTAGGTGGAGTGAGACTGTACTGAATGGATGATATTGGATGTGAGAAAGCGGTTTCCAAGAGGGTTGATATGAAGGCCATCAGGTCTGAAGAAGGAGGAGCGGTGCCAGAATAAATTAAAATTGTCAATAAAACCAAAGTTGTGGAGGGTTGATGCTTGTTTGAGCCAAGTGTGAAGAGCTAGAATTCTGCTAAAACGTTCATCTCCTCGGTTGAGAGTGGGTAGAGGGCCGGAGATAAAAACAGATAATCCAGATTCTGATAAAAAGTTAAAAAGGTCTCTAAAATGCAGTTTTGTGATTTCCGAGTGGCGGGATGAACTGTCATTTGAACCGATATGGATAATAAGACGGGTTATTGTAGTGGGGGCGTTTATAAGAAGGGCAGGTAATTTGTTCAGCAGTGAAGTGACAGTGGCTCCAGGGAAACAGTGAGTGGAAACATTAAAAAACCTGCAGCGTTTAATGATGGAGTCACCCACCAGAAGAGTTGTGGGTGCGAACAATGGTCGGGGGGAGGATGGAGTTATCGTAGTGGGGGGAGATGGGCGCTGAGGGACCTGAGCGGGCAGGGCGAGACCAGGAGCATTTGCGGTGGTGCCGTGAGATAAGAGCGGAGGGTTGGGAGAGAGTGAAGGAGACCGAGATAAGAGCGGAGGGTTGGGAGAGAGTGAAGGAGACCGAGGCGGTTCTGGACGGACTGAGACTGGGGCGCGGGGTGGCGTGGGAGAGCCTCGCACTGAGTCCGGACAAGGAGGTCCTCCAGCAGCAACTGAGGGCACATTGCTGTCCACGGGGGAACCCCACGCTGGGTCAGAGCGAGGAGGTCCACCCGGGGTAGCGGTAGCATTCTCGCAGGGGTCCCGCGCTGCGTCAGAGCGCAGTGACCCCTCCGGAGCCAGGGCAGCATTCATAGGGGATCCCCGCGCTCCAGCGCAGCGCGCGGGGATTCCCCAATGGCTACCCCGGCGTTTGCTCCGTCATGCGCCGCGCACCGTACTGAGTCTGCGGGGCCACTCACTTGAGCAGGGCGCTGCGAGTCTCCCAGGACCGAGGCAGCTTTCGCGGGAGGACTCCGCGCTGTCTCTGAACGCGGAGATCCCCCCACTGCAGCCTCAGCCAAACCCCGCGCAGTGTCCGGGCGCAGGGGGCTCCGCGCTGGGTCAGAGCACGGAGGGCCCACGGAGCGCCTGCGGACAGCCTCCTCCACCAGTCTGCGGCGGGTGGACAGGGACACTCTGTGGTCTCGCGGCCTCTGCTCCTGGTTGAACTTGCTCTGAGGATGGCCTTGCTCTGAGGATGGCCATGCTCCGGGGCAGGACAGCTGGAGACCGGTGGCTCTAGGGCTGTATGAGGCGGCGAAGGATCCGGAACCGGGCAGAGCGCTGGATGCTCCGGGAAGAGCGCGGTGGCCAGACTCGGCCCAGGAGCGAGCGGGTCCTTTCTTCGGACCACAACGCACGA